GTTATTCATACTTATGAGTTTGGAGCTGCAATTTGACTACTGCCATTAAACTGGGCTTTGGACTGCTTTTTAATCAAATTAGCTTCACTGGTTTAACTGACAGGTTTTTATTAATTTACCATTAAATAGCTTTCAATTAACACAAGAACATAGAGGTAACATCACAATTGTACTGTTATAAAGTTAAAAGCCTGTGTTTCATTTCCAGGGAAAAATGCTGAAGCTAGGTTCCCCACAGATGATGCTTAACAGCCACTGGTCCTTTTATTTTGGTCTTACTAACAGAAATACTAACTTAGCGAGATTACAAGCATAGGTCTCTTAATAGCTTCCTAGGAGTCAGAACTTTTGCTTTCGATACCAAATAATATCTGGAAAACATGCTCACTTTTGTGTTTTTTGAGAAATTCTAAGAACTGGCCCAGATTCATGTGATAGTCATTCCTTAAGCCATAGTCACCATGGGCCTCAAGAAGTAATTCTTCAAAAGAATGGAAAAGGCGCAGGTCCTCCCCATTTCCTTCTGTTTCGATACTCTCGGCATGCTTACAGGAAATGTGTTTCCAGTTGGGATACCTAATCGTGTGCCAGAATTCCTCACAGTGCTCTTTGAAGCCTTCCACACAGATTATCCCCGGCTTTCCCGTCATGCAAAATCCAGTCACATCTAACCTTTTCCCAACATCCAAAATCTTTTTTCGTAGGTCCTGCTGATATATATGGTGACTGTAGATCCACATTCGGAGGAATGTGTTCTTGACTGGCTTTGCTTGTGTAGATGGTTCGTACACGAGCTTCCTGTTCAGGAAGTAGGAGGCACTGTTGTCCTGCAACCACTGGATGGCTGCACACACACAGAGCTCACCTGGATCAAAAGTCCCTATGTAAGAAGTGAGACCTTTGTTGAGAAGGAGCTGCTGTTGTCTGTCAAGTTCGGATGACCGTCCGAATAGCTGCAGTGCTGCATAGGGGTAGCTGTGAGGCATGGTTACTTGCAAGTCAATTTTCACCTTAAAATGAAAATCAAATAGATTTAAGTACCGTAAAATCACATAAGCTAGTTTATCCATGGCCACTGCACAATGCTGATAAATGGCATAGTTACTGCTACTATTACATGTCAGCTATGTGCCAGACACTGCACAATTTTACAAACATAAATTCCTTCCATGTATGCATTCATTCATTCCCATATTCATCCAACACCTACCATGTGTCAGGTACCCTATATGCTGAAATAGAGAAGTGAAGAAGCTAGATACTAGTCCTGCCCTTCGTGGAAAGAAGCCGAGAGCCTAGTGAAGGAGACAGACGTTAAACAAATAATTATACACAGCAAGTATTTCACTGCAAAGGTGAGAAGCAGTGCCATAGAAAAGTACAGGGATCCACTGAAAGGTGGAACCAGAGGGATTGCATCCAGTCTGGGGAGCCAGGGAATTCCTCTGAGGGAATAACGCCCAGAAGCTGACTAGGAAGTAGCTAGCACAGCGGTTCTCAAACGCCTGGTCCACTTGTTACTTGGGCTATGCTGAAGTTGCTGGAGATAATGGATGAGAAGGTGAAGGTGAATTCATTTTCAGAATTTAGATTTTCTATCTGTATTTGCTTTCAGTGTCATGGTGCCATCAAAGAAACAGTCATTCACTCCTTAAAAGCCAGTTTTGCTAAAGACAATATTTAGATTTGTGAAAATCGTAACATATGTACAAGATAGTCCATACTACAATAGCAAGATTGGTAAAAATGGATGAGTGAATAGAATAATAATGGCAGTAGAAGACTGCAAGATGTGTTTAATAAAAACACTAGGCATATTTATAAAAAATAACAACACTAGGCATATTGGTATAAAGGTGTGCATATGTATGTAAAATTCAAGATCTTTATTGAAAACAACTTACAGGTCGTCCCATGTTTTGCTGGAATATTTCCATATATGCATCTGGAATATTCTCTATTTGCTTCCTGGACAGGAAGCTCAGGTTCCAAGTGTTTCCAATATAAACTGGGCACCTGCCAACAATTAAAACCACTCAGGGCACCTACCTTGGGCTCCTCGATCTGGAGTGTAATCACAAATTCGATTTTTGGTGGCAGTGCCTCCCTTGTGCCTTCCAAATATCTCTTTATATTCGTCAGGGCATTGACATCTTCAAGTTTTACTTCTCCTTGGTTAGGAAACATAGAAAACAGCATTTCCATCTCCAGCAGCTGAAGTTGAAGGCATTCGTTCATTGAAGCGGACATGCTGAATTGAAATCAACCTGTCAGGAAAACCGGAAGGGCCCAGGGACACTGGATTTGTTAACGTCGGCGGTGTCCAGAGGAATTTCCCGCAGCTCCCTTTCCGTGGAAGCAGCTTTGCAGGAGCGCTATTACGCGTCGAGAGCTAGGGGCACAAACCGGGACACTTACACTCTTCTGCTTTATCTCCTGGCCCCCAAATCTAGTATACACGACATCCTCCAAGATACGTCGTTGAAATTCAGATTCCCAGTCCCTTTATCCCCAGCCCCCGCTTCCGATCTGGATGAGGGAATCCGGACTCTCAACAAGTGTTCCTTATTATTCCGTTGCAGGCGGTTGGGCAACCACCACCTGCAGACACTCTGTAAGCCTGAATTCTGGGAAAGGCGAGGGACCCAGCCTCCGAATCCCACCCAGGTGTCGGCCTTGGGCGGAGCTGGCCGCTGCGGCGAGGGAAGCCCGCAGTGCCGGCGGGGCAGACCTCCGCCTCCCACGGCTCCCGGGTCTCCGGGGCCACGCCGCGCTCCACGCCAGTTGCCGCCCCTCAGCCCCAGCGCCACGAACCCCTCCCGGGTGGGCCTTTCCGCCTTTCTCGGGAGCCACCCTGGCCCCGGGCGGCATCCTGTGAGTCCGGGCGATTTGGATGCACCTGGCCTCTGCCCCGAGGGCCCCAGGCTTAGTGAGGGGGTCTTACAGGTAAATAAATAAAATGACGTTTCTTGCGAGCTGGGGCGGACGGATGGGGAAGGGGGCGGGGCACGAGAAGGCTCCACAGAATCAGACGTTTGGGAGATGAACCTCGAGAATCGAGAGGGGGATGCGGGAACCCGGGTGGCGCTCACTGGGTCCGGGACCACCTGGTTAGAGGCCTCATATCTGGGCTGGTACCCCCCATCCAGGACCACATTGGAAGCCCGGCTTCCCAGAAACGCGGGCCCTGCCACCCTGAGACCCGAATTTGGAGTCAGGGGTTGCGTATCTGCCGGTCGCAGTGCTCTGAGGGCCCGCGACCCTAGGCCCCAACCCCCGGGCCACCGCGGGGGCCTCACCCTTCCCGGTCACTCAAAGGAAACAGCCCCAAGCCCTCTCGCAACGCGGATCCGCAGTTCCGCAGGCGCGAGCCGCGGGTATCCGGCAAGGAGGCGGGGCCTGGCCCGCGGACTCTTCCCGCGCTGTGATTGGCTGAGGGGCGGGACGACGGGCCGGAAGCCACGCAGGGCCACGTTTGCGGACGGCGACCTCTTAGTCTGGTTCTTGCCTAGTCTGGTGCCCCCCGCCGCCGTGAGGGAGGTCGTTCGCGCTGTAGAGGTGAGGGGGGGGTGTCTCTCGGCAGAGGTGAGCGGGGCCCCGAAGCTTGGCGGCGAGAAGGGGACCTTCCGGTCCGCAGGGGTTCGGCCGACCGCCAGGCTAGCGGGCCGGCTGGCGGACTGACTCGCGGGCCGCGCCGGACACACCTACTCGCCACTGCGGCTCGGGAGCGGGATGGAGGCGCGGGCCCGAGGGTCTCGAGCTGGGAAAGGGGTCTCGTCCATCACCTAGGTGGGGACCTCAGGGCTGGGTGCCAGGAAACGTGGGGCGATTCGGGGGCTGGGAGGAGAGGGGAACTAACGAGGTGCTAAAGACTGGAGGGAAGGGGGCCGTCCTTAGCTTTTTTAGAGTGGACAGTTTGGACTTGAAAATACTTTCAATAAAAGCCCCTCACATACTCGTTGAAAGTAGTTTTAGGACCTAAAACGGTTGAAAGGGTGGAAACATTTTACCTTGACTCTCTATTTATTTTTTTGACTTTTTTTTTTTTTAAGACTTTTGGACGTAACAGCTGGTTTACGCCCTTAGAAATAATCAAGATATATTGACGACTGGTCACTTTTTAATAAAACGTCTTCATGCATGTGAACTAGATTTGATCGCTCTAGGCCAATCTAAATTAGCGTCCTGAATGCCAGCTTTTTCCAACTGGACAAAAGGAAACATTTAACTTTGTTCATTGACGCAGTGAAGGACAATAAAGAAAACAAGAGTTGGAAGCCCCAAGTTCCACTTAAAGTTGGAGTAGCCCAGAGAAGGAAGTACTAGCGGGCTAAGGGCTGATGTTTGATTTTTAAAATGAAAGGTAAAAGGAAGATGTTGCCAGTTTCCGAGCTTAATTTAGAAGGGTGTCCTGAGCCTCCTTTATGAAAATACAAAAATCCACTGCAAGGTGTATTGGGAGGTCTGGGCAGTCTTGGAGAGGAGGCTTTTGCCCTTTGCTTTTCCTTTGGGAATAGGTCTCTGTAGCCTGGGAGGAATAGCAGAAGAACTGCACAGTTTTTCCAGATATTTTGTATATGCAGCCCCAGTCCACTGGAGAAGGTGACCTTCGGCCTCAGTCTGTCAGCAGCTTCCCATGTAAAATTTAGGTTGTTTAACTGATACCCAGAATTAAGTTTTCCCATTTGTAAAATGATACGGTCCCTTGTAGGATTCTCTGAATCTAGGTGTAGAATCTTCATTTTAGTTGGGAATGGACCATTTTAAGTTTGCCTTGGGCCCAGGAATCATTGGGGACAGTCTCATTTCTGTCCTGAAGTGAACAGTACAGGTAATGCTAACCTCCGGGACTTACTCTACCATTTTTTTTCCCTCTCTCAAACATAGGATTTTGGGGGGAGGTTCAGAATGAGGCAGATCTATTAGTTTGGGATGGAAGGTTTTGAACCAGATGGTCCTTGAAAGATTTCTTATGCCTGAAAAACATTCCTTAATTTTGTAGACATGGATTTAGATGCTGTTACAAAGCAGTCAGCATTACATGCCAAACCTGATGGACTCACTCTTCAATATGGGACTGCTGGATTTCGAACGAAAGCGGAACATCTTGATCATGTCATGTTTCGAATGGGATTATTAGCTGTCCTGAGGTCAAAACAGACCAAATCTACTATAGGAGTCATGGTAACAGCATCACATAATCCTGAGGTAATGCATTTAGTGCTCCGATAAAGCAAATGTTTATTTGCAAGACCAAACCTTAGTTTCTGAGTGCTTTGACCCAAAGTACAAATTCTAATTCTAGGAATGTGCCTTCTTATTGCTATATGCCTTTACTTTTGAAACAACTCTTTTCTTAACAAGGGTTCATTTAGGTCATGACTCTTTAAAGGGTGTGGAGAGAGTGAAATGAGATGATCATTTTTTGGAGTGTGTCCATATTGAGAAGTAACAGAATGTCCTTCCAAGTTAGCTGTATTGAGACAGCATCAGTAATAAAAAGCGTTGCCTCTGTTAATTTAGCAGAGATTAAAGAGATTGGAGGCAAGCTGGGGGAGGGGAGAGGGCAAACATTTGAAAAGACTTAGCACCGTTTGAAAATTTTCACAGAGCTTTTCTATAGCTAGGGAATAGTTTCCCGTTCTGAGTGAACAGCCAAACACATGGCTCCAGGGATCCAAAGGTGAGCCCTGGGCAGAATACTGATGAGGCCTGATGGGTCTAGTGTTTATGACAATTAAGTTTCTGAAGTATTCCTTTTGACACAACTTAACCATCATATTCTGTACTGGCCTATAACTAATACGGGGCTTAAATAATATGCTTCTGTTTGGTTGCTAGGACACGAGACTCTTGCCTTTGTAGCTAAATCAGCAGCAAGTTAAAGCTCTGTGGGTTAGTGAAGGATTGTAACCTCCTCCCTTCCCACCCCAAAACAAGAGGATGTTGCTTATTCAGCTTCTAAATGTGGATCACTCTGAAGGTATAAGTGTCTGAATGGCTAAAGCACCTTAATTGCTTAATGATTTGTAGACAGAACCCCACATTTATTGTTAATTTCAGAAGCACTGCTTAAAACAGTTCTGAGCTATTTCCTTCCTTTGACATTCACTCTGAACTACACTTTTTTTCTTTCCAGAAATTTGAGCAGACCAGAATTGGGCGTCAGTTTTCAGCTTTTGTACCACCCACTGGTTGACACGCTGGCCAGTGTGTTCTTTGAGTCCAGCCATAGTGAGAAGGATATCCAGGGGTCCTGGGTCTGCTACAGTTGTGCCTCATCAGTTAATTGATGGCGAATGCTCAGATGACAGCCTTTTAAAACAGCTAGTGTGGCACAGTGGCTGTTGGATTTAAGAGTCAGATGGACTTGATGTTTTAATTTCAGAACTGAAACTAGCTGTATGAACATAAGCAGAGTAATTGCTCTGAATCTCAGTTTCTCAAAGTAAGATTGGAGTAACCATCGGATTATTAGTTACATAGATAACGTGTGTTGTGAGGATTTGCTGAGGTGATGTATGTACAACACCTAGTCCAGTGCCTGGCCTTCAGTAGTGGTCACCAGTGAAACTGCCCGGCCAACACTGTCTTTTGTCGGGGGAAAAGCAGCTTGGGTTTACTTCCTCACCTCACCCTCACAACTGCACAGATGGCTTATTATTTGTTTTTCTTTCAAGGAAGACAATGGTGTAAAATTGGTTGATCCTTTGGGTGAAATGTTGGCACCGTCCTGGGAGGAGCATGCTACCTGTTTGGCCAACGCTGAGGAACAAGATTTGCCGAGAGTGTTGGTGGACATTGGCGAGAAAGCAGCTGTGAATCTGCACCAAGATGCCTTTGTGGTGATTGGTAGAGATACCAGGTGACCATCAGAGCTACTGGTGAAAGCTGCTTGGGAATACCACATAGATGGTTGCATCTGTTTTAGCACCCAGGACAAAGCAAAAAAGTCGAGGAAAGTGGAACTGCCCTGAGAGGCTTCTCCACGTCCTGGTCTATTCAGTAGGATGTCGGAGCTCAGTCACTACTGCAGCTTGGGCTTTGGAGTCTGAGCCCCAACTTTCACACTTACTGTACGGGTTGAGTAGGTCACTTAACCTTTTGGAGCTTACCTTTACTCACCTGTACAGTGTTGATGATAGCCTACATCATGCAATCCTTCCCGAGGATTACATGAAGTAATACATGCAACACACCTGTTTTGTGGCACAAGAGAAGCACTTAGCAAATGTCTCCCATCCCTTTACTTCTGTGGGTTTACGTTTTTTTCCCCATAGAGTGAGAACATGTGATTGTAAGTCATTATTTTTAGAGATTTATTTTATAACCTGTGTTATTGTTGGTTCATAGGTCATTTTTCCCTTGCTGGAGTTCATTGGAAAGCATTAACCATCTATATTATTTCTACGCGTTTGTCACGTTTGGCAGCTCTTACCTTCCTTTTCAAAAAGGTGTTACTGTAAAATGTTAGATTAAAAGTGTACTTTGAAACAGAAGCATTCTCTTTTGCATAAGATCTGGTTTTAGCCAGAGATTCTTTCTAAAGGAGATTTCTGCTCGGTCTCCGAATGGCTTAGACGGGTGTTTTACCCTTAGTGTGTTACCAGAGGGACTTCAAATTCCATTGTTTGTGAATTTATAGGTAACAGAATAGCCAAGTGACTTATGTTCTGAAGCAAATTAGTATCTCACAGTAAAGTCTTGCACGTGTATTGGGTTGGCCAAAAGTTTCATTCATTTTTTTCCGTAAGATGGCTCTAGTAGCTCTTAGTTGTCTTTAACTTCATTCGAAACAGTTTTGTTAGGTTGTATGTGACAGCTGTCATATCGGCGTGCATTGAAAAACAGACATCAAAATTGGTGAATTTTTGTGTAGCCATTTTAATATTGAAGATGAAAGAAAAAAAGCAACATTTTCGGCATATTATACTTTATTATTTCAAGAAAGGTAAAAATGCAACTGGAACGCAGAAGAGATTTGTGCAGTATGTGGAGAAGGTGCTGTGACTGCTCGAACATGTCAGAAGTGGCTTGCAAAGTTTCGTGTTGGAGGTTTCTCTCTGGACGACGCTCCACGGCTGGGTAGGCCATTTGAAGCTGATAGTTATCAAATTGAGACATTAATTGAGAACAATCAATGTTATACCACGCGGGAGATAGCCGACATACTCAAAGTACCCAAATCAAGTGCTGAAAATCATTTGCACCAGCTTGGTTATGTAAATTGCTTTGAGGTTTGGGTTCCACGTAAGCTAAGCGAAAAAAACCTTCTTGACAGTATTTCTGCATGTGATTCTCTACATAAACGTGTAACGAAAATGTTCTGTTTTTAAGACAAATTGTGACGGGCGTTGAAAAGTGGATACTGTACAACAGTGTGGAACAGAAGAGATCGTGGGCAGACGAAATGAACCACCACCAACCACACCAAAGGCCCGTCTTCGTCCAAAGAAGGTGACATTGTGTATAGGGTGGGATGGGAAGGGAGTCCTCTATTATGAGCTCCTTCCAGAAAACCAAATGATTAATTCCAACAAGTACTGCTGCCATTTAGACCAACTGAAAGAGGCACTCGATGAAAAGTGTCCGGAATTAGTCAAGAGAAAATGCATAATCTTCCATCAGGATACCGCAAGGCCGCATGTCTCTTTTGATGACCAGGCAAAACCTGTTACAGTTTGGCTGGGAAGTTCTGATTCATCCGCCGTATTCACCAGACATTGCATCTTCGGATTTACATTTATTTTGTTCTTTACAAGATTCTCTTCTTTTTTTTTGCGGTACGCGGGCCTCTCACTGCTGTGGCCTCTCCCGCCGCGGAGCACAGGCTCTGGACGCGCAGGCTCAGCGGCCACGGCTCACGGGCCCAGCCGCTCCGCAGCATGCGGGATCTTCCCGGACCGGGGAATGAACCCATGTCCCCTGCATCGGCAGGCGGACCCCCAACCACTGCACCACCAGGGAAGCCCTACAAGATTCTCTTAATGGAAAAAATTTCAGTTCCTTCGAAGACCGTAAAAGGTACCTAGAACAGATCTTTGCTCAGAAAGATAAAAAGTTTTGGAAAAGGAATTATGAAGTTGCCTGAAAAATGGCAGAAGATAGTGGAACAAAAGGGTGATTACATTGTTCAATAAAGTTCTTGGTGAAAATGAAAAATGTGTCTTTTATTTTTACTTAAAAACCGAAGGCACTTTTTGGCCAACCCAATATTTGCCTCTTACCTATTACCTAGTTTAAATGATATAGAACATCTTTTTCTACAAGGCAGTTATATATCTTACATATCTTATTTTCAGATAGATAGAAAAATAATTTATTCTTTTTAAAATGAAAACTAGATTCTATACGCTTGGTGGTTTAATACCCAGCCCTGGGTTATGCACGCTCTGTGGTTTCAATATTTATTGTTACTGTTCTCAGGCAGTGTATGTATTGTTACAGTCAAACTTGAAAAGGTATTTGGGTAGGTTAATTAGTGTATCCTTTATATCTATTTCCTAAATGCATTTAAAAGCCAAACTCTTTCCAAGAAATATATTGTGAAAGGCTAATGGAAAATGCTTACACTTCACCCGTATTATCTTTTCAGAGTTTTCAGGCTTGGCAGGTTTCATTTAGTTCGAATACAATGGACTTGTTATTCTGAAACTGGTAGCACAGATTTCTGCATTTGCTTTTAGAGCTAGCAGCTCAGTTGGTCTTGGGATGGGATGTAATGTTTTCTTCCTTTTCTTTCCTAGGCCCAGCAGTGAGAAACTTTCACAGTGTGTAATAGACGGTGTGACTGTTTTAGGAGGTCAATTCCATGGTATGTATTTATCCTGACTTGTAAATTAATCTTTTAAAAAGTTTTATTAAAAAATCACAAAATAAATATATATTTAATTTAGAGAAGTTTGAAACTACAGATAAAGTTAAAAAAACAATGGACTCCTAGATATAAACTACTAGCTTTTTAAGTTAAAAAAAGTTAAAAAAAATTTTCTGGGCTTGCGTATTACATTTTATCTGTAGGAGATAATATGTAGGCAAGGCTGATCTTAGACAACTTCCTTTATAATCCTGAATTTCCTGATATAAAAACCTCTGAGGGGACTTCCCTGGTGGTACAGTGGTTAAGAATCTGCCTGCCAATGCAGGGGACATGGGTTCAAGCCCTGGTCTAGGAGGATCCCACGTGCCGTGGAGCAACTAAGCCCACGTGCCACAACTGCTGAGCCTGAGCTCTAGAGCCCATGAGCCACAACTACTGAGCCTGTGTGCTACAGCTACTAAAGCCCACATGCCTAGAGCCTATGCTCCGCAATGAGAGAAGCCACCGCAATGAGAAGCCTGCACACTGCAACCAAGAGTAGCCCCTGCTCGTCACAATGAGAGAAAATACCCACACAGCAATAAAGACCCAACACAGCCAGAAATAAATAATTTTTTTTTTTGTGGTATGCGGGCCTCTCACTGTTGTAGCCTCTCCCGCTGTGGAGCATAGTCTCCAGACGCGCAGGCTCAGCAGCCATGGCTCACGGGCCCAGCTGCTCTGCGGCATGTGGGATCTTCCTGGGCTGGGGCACGAACCTGTGTCCCCTGCAGCAGCAGGCGGACTCTCAACCTCTGTGCCACCAGGGAAGCCCCAGTAGGTCCTTTTTGATTATCTGCTTTATATATAGTATTGAATAGTATGTGTATGTTAATCCCAAACTCCTAATTTACTCCTCCCCGCCATGTTTCCCCTTTGGTAACCATAAGTTTGTTTTCTAAGTCTGTGAGTCTATTCTGTTTTGTAAATAAGTTCATTTGTTTTTTTTGTTTTAGATTCCACATGTAAGTGATATCATATTGATATTTGTTTTTTCTCTGACTTAATCATTTAGTATGATAATCTCCAGGTCCATCCACTTTGCTGCAAATGGCATTGTTTCATTCTTTTTTATGACCGAGTAGTATTCCATTGTCTTTATGTACCACATCTTATTTATCCATTCATCTGTTGATGGACATTTAGGTTGCTTCCATGTCTTGGCTATTGTAAATAGTGCTGTGGTGAACATTGGGGTGCTTGTATCTTTTCAAATTATGGTTTGAAGAATAGTCCTTTGCGGCTTCAGCCTCATGAAAGCCTGTTCCCCCAGTTGCACATGTTAGACCAGCATGGACTGTTTGCAGTGAGAACCATTGCTCAACTTCTTATTTAGAGGAATGTCCTCAGAGCAAAATTGGCTTCCCTTAGCTCACATCCTGGAGTTCTCTCTTCATGTAAATTTTGGCCTAATTCCTTTGTAATGTTGGTACTGTAATTCTTTTTAAAGAGAGATTTTTCTCTTATTCAGCATTTTTGGTTGTTTTCAGGAGGAGGGTTCATCTGAATTACATAGTTTGTAATGTTACTGGAAATAGAACTCAGTTATTATTTTTCTACGTTGCTCTATTTTTATACTGCTACCCATCTATACAAAATGATTGGTTTTTGCTATCAGTAGTAGTTCATATTCTTTTTAGAGCCAAGTATGTGTCCAATGTGTGCCTTTTCCACCACCAGTTAATTCTGACACTGTCTACCTGGAATTAGGGTCACATCCCACACGTTAAAGGCTCAGGGCCACAAGCCTTGCCACTCCCCGCTTCAGCTGCCAGTCACCTGGGCTTTTTTTTTTTTTTTTTTTGTGGTATGCGGTCCTCTCGCCGTTGTGGCCTCTCCCGCTGCGGAGCACAGGCTCCGGACGTGCAGGCTCAGCGGCCACGGCTCACGGGCCCAGCCGCTCCACAGCATGTGGGATCTTCCCGGACCGGGGCACGGACCCGTGTCCCCTGCATCGGCAGGCGGACTCTCAACCACTGCACCACCAGGGAAGGCCGAGATGTCTTTTTTTTTTTTTTTTTTGTGGTACGTGGGCCTCTCACTGTTGTGGCCTCTCCCATTGCAGAGCACAGGCTCCGCACGCACAGGCTCAGCAGCCATGGCTCACAGGCCCAGCCGCTCCGCTGCATGTGGGATCTTTCCGGACCGGGGCATGAACCCGTGTCCCCTGCACCGGCAGGCGGACTCTCAACCACTGTGCCACCAGGGAAGCCCCGAGATGTCTTTTTTTAAAGAGGATTTGTCACCCTGAAATTCACACAGTATGAGTCCTAAACTTTTCTTCTTTCTTAAGGAATGTGGTAAATTGCTTTTTGTATTTCTGTGACAGATTATGGCTTGTTGACGACGCCCCAACTGCACTACATGGTGTACTGTCGAAATACCAGTGGCCAGTATGGAAAGGCAACCATAGAAGGTTACTACCAGAAACTCTCTACAGCCTTTGTGGAACTTACCAAACAGGTGGAAATCTCTTGAATGTGGTTAGAGTTTAAGTAGATGACCAAAATAACATCAGTTGAACAATTTACTTTAATTAGATATTTGTTACCCTTCCTCCTCTTCCAAAAATGTGGCGTGTCTCCTTTTTCTTTTTAGGGCTCTGCAAGGTCTGGGCCTTGTATCCTGCTGACTCTTTGTTGGCATTTACTCGGCGAGGCATGGAATATGTTGTGAGCTCACCAGCGGTGTACTTGCGGTTCGTTGTGTTCATTCAGAGGAATTTGGTCTTAGAGTTACTGTAGGTGCTGTTGGCATCATACCTGAGGCACCTACTGTTGAGAAAGCCTTTCTTCGAGGTGAATTAGCTTCCTAAACCTGAACGAGATTTGAGGGGTGTAATTCATTTGATTGGCAAATATCGAGTGTATGTCATTGTCAGGCATAGTTAAACAAAACCAAGCCTTTGCTCTCATAGGACTTACATTCTGGGGTGAGAGGGTAGGAGAGGAGACTGACAGGAAAAAGCCAGGCATGCCCGGTGGTGTAATATGCTCTGAAGAGAATGACGGATGTTATGACTGCTCATTCATCTGTGTACTCATGCCCATATTTGAATGCCTGCCGTGTAATGCAGACTATAATATTGTAAGAGACCTTGCTTAATGGAGGCTAAATTCTAATAAAGCTTCATTTCCATCATTTATTCAGTCAATGCAACTGTTCCAATGTCTGTGTCCGAAAAAAGGTGTTTTAACATTTTACTTTGGTGTTTTACAATTTTCATCTGAACGTGTGTACCCTTTTGTTTCCTGGGTTACAACAGACAAGTTATAACTGATATAATGGAAGGTGCTTATATATACATGTGATATGCCATGCTTCACTGTTACAACTTGAAATTTTTCTTGCGAATGTCTTTTCCTTTTCAGGCCTTCTGCAGTGGAGATGGCCAAAGAACACTCAAGGTTGACTGTGCGAACGGCATAGGGGCCCTGAAGCTGAGAGAAATGAAACACTACTTCTCCCAGGGGCTGTCAGTGCAGCTGTTTAACGACGGCACCAAAGGGAAGCTCAATCATTTATGTGGGGCTGACTTTGTGAAAAGTCATCAGAAACCTCCTCAGGGTACGTGAACATGTGTTTTTCAAGCTCTTCCTGAAAGCGGCCTCACAACCAGAGCTGGCCAGGTGAGCTGGGCCCGGCCCTGCGCTGTTACACATCGGGCCTCTTCCCACTCTTCGGTACCACATGGAGCACGGGCTGCTCTCTGCCTGAGAGTCACAGGACTCCTCACGGGGCGCAGGAAATCTGGTGGAGAAAGCAAAATCAAGGTGGGATTCTAGAGCAGTGCTCTCAAGCTTTAGCAGGCATCACAATTACCTGGAGGGCTGGTCCGCACACAGATTCCTGGGCTCTGTCCGAGGGTTTCATTCTCTGTAGGTCTGGGGTGGGTTTGTCCATCCGCTGCTGTCATGGCAAAGGAACAGCCACATTGTCTAAAATTTGACGTGACACAGCTGTTGAGGTTTCAGTAACTTTACACAAGTTACACAAGCCATTGGTCTCTCACAGGTTATAATCCCTTGCTCTTAATGACCAGTGTTTCTTGTTATTGATGGTGTTAACAAATAAAAATCACTTTTTTCAGGATTCAGGCACATACCTCATCTACTACCGGTTATTTTTTATATGAGAAAGGACACTGTGGTACTAGGGAAATTGCATTCAATTCAATACCTGTAGCTCTCAAAACACTATGTGGTAATCTGTATTGCCAAACTTCTGGCTTGTAAAATGGAATTTTTTTTAGTATCATATCGGGTTTCAGCTTAGATAGATTTTGAATGCTCTTTTTTCACTTAGCTGTGAAAGAGTTTGCCCTGTATACAGTAAATCTGTATACTATTTAACGCTTAAGACATTGGTTTTTGTTTGGAAGGATACTTATTTTTATGTTGTTTTCTTTCCATTTAAATGAATCCTCTTCCCTTGATTTTGAAGCTATTATCTCCATTCAGGTACAAAAACAATTACATATGTTTATGTAGCGCTTCAGACAGGAGAAATGATCAGGATTCTCCTCAATGACAAAACACTATTTATATTTGATTGTACCCTCTGCTTGGTCATGTAAGGATAGTAATGGTTCTTTATCTGCAGTTATAAAGACATTTATTCCTTTCAGCTGGGCTTCAGTTTACAAATTGTGAGAAACTTTGTTCAACTGACATTTGATTTTTGTAAATCTTGAGGACAGGCTTTATTTGCCTAGCACATGTTTAATTTTGCTTAAGCCCTGGAAGGATAATTTTAAACACCTCTTGAAAAGTCGTTAGACATGCTTCCATGTAACACAGAAGGTCACTTACGATCAATACTTAACCGAAAGAATTTTCCCTTGTAACTGGTGTGAGAGAACAACCGAAAACTTTTTACACTGAGTTTTATCCCCCTTTCTTAGACTGAAGAAATTTGAATTATTTTGAATTATTCAGTTAATTTGAATTATTCATTTTGAATTATTCTGTGTGGCAGGAATCGAAATGAAGTCCAATGAAAGATGCTGTTCCTTCGATGGAGATGCAGACAGAATAATTTACTACTACCATGATGCAGATGGTCAGTTTCATCTCGTGGATGGAGACAAGATAGCAGCACTCATTAGCAGTTTCCTTAAGGAACCCCTGTTGGAGGTACGGTGCGGGCACGGACTGCCCTTTCAAGCAAGACTCACTGGGGAGATTGTTCCGTATCAGGCAGTCATTCGAATGTCTGAGGCATGATCGTGGGAAGTGGCCAGAAAACACACAGAGAAGTGGTCATTCCAGTCATTTCAACACTGGGACTCTGGTTTGGAACCTGAAGAGAGTAGTCTATTCTTTTTTTTATTCTTATTTACTTACTTACTTATTTATTTATTTATTTTTTGCGGTATGCGGGCCTCTCACTGTTGTGGCCTCTCCCATTGCGGAGCACAGGCTCCGGACGCGCAGGCTCAGCGGCCATGGCTCACGGGCCCAGCTGCTCCGCGGCATGTGGGATCTTCCCAGACCGGGGCACGAACCTGTGTCCCCTGCATTGGCAGGCGGACTCTCAACCACTGCGCCACCAGGGAAGCCCTATTCATTTTTTTTAAAAAAAATTTATTTTATTTATTTAATTTGGCTGCATTGGGTCTTTGTTGCTGCACGCGGGCTTTCTCTAGTTGCGGTGAGCGGGGGCTGCTCTTTGTTGCATTGCGCAGGCTTCTCATTGCGGTGTCTTCTCTTGTTGCGTGCAGAGCACAGGCTCTAGGTGTGCAGGCTTCAGTAGTTGTGGCGCACGGGCCCAGTAGTGTGGCTCCTGGGCTCTAGAGCGCAGTCTCAGTAGTTGTGGCGCGTGGGTTTAGTTGCTCCGAGGCATGTGGGATCTTCCCAGACCAGGGCTCTAACCTGTGTCCCCTGCATTGGCAGGCGGATTCTTAACCACTGCGCCACCAGGGAAGCCCAGTCTTTTCTTTTTTATACTGGCAAAAAGTTTCATGATTTGCAGCTTTATGAAGTTTTGGTTTCTTCATAACTGATATTTTAATGAGGGTTCCACGAACATCATTCCCCAGAGCCTCAAGTTTAAATAGAAAAGCTCCTCCTCTGAGGGATTTATTTACTACGATTATGATAAGCTTAGTAATGTGAGATTTATTTTGTTATGCTCTTTTGGAAATCTCAGGTTAGCTTTAAGTATAAAATATAATGATAATTATCACAATCGGGAAAATGTGTACTTTAGGAATTCAGTGTATACTTTTATTAAAAACGAAAGAGAAAGAGATCAAGAAACCACAGGTTTCTTTGAAAAGGATTCCTTAGCAAACAAGATGTCCTTCATAGGCGAATAAACTGTGGTCCATCCAGACAATGGAATATTATTCAGCAGTGAAGGAAAAAAGAAAAAAAAAAAGATGTATCAAGCCATGAAAAGACGTGGAGGAAATTTGAACGCATGTTACTAAGAAGGAAGCCAATCTGAGAAGGCTGTGTATTTTAGTATGAGTCCAACTATATGATATTCTGAAAAAAAATTCCCATGGAGACTGTGGAGACAGTTAAAAGATCAGTGGTTGCAAGGGGCTGGGGGGAAGTGGGTGCTGAGGGATGAATAGGTGGAGCACGGGGCTTTTTAGGGCTGAAAACACTATATGATACTGTAAAGAGGGAGACGTGTCCTTATACATTTGTCCAAGCCCGCAGAATATACAGCACTAAGGGTGAATCCTGATACAAACCGTGGAGTAATAGAAACGAAATCAGGTGATTTAAAAAAAAAAAAAAAGGATTCCTTGTACAGTTGCTTTAAATAATGCTCAAAAGTATTTTATGGTTTTTTCTGGCATACGTGTAAATTTTTGGTGAGTTGTTTATTGCATAAAACTAAGGCACAGCTGATCTGGCTGATAATTTTGTCATCCTTTAGAACTCTGACTATAGGTTTGCTTTTGTAGGGTCTTTACTTTTGATGGCAAGGTAATTGTCCTTGTTTTTGTCTAGATTGGAGACAGTTTGAGTCTCGGTGTCGTACAAACTGCATATGCCAATGGAAGTTCAACACGCTACCTGGAAGAAGTTATGAAGGTATTGAAACGTTTCCATTTTCTGGTAGCTGCTTCATCATTATCTTCTATGGTAAGATGCTTCTGTGAGGAAAATAATGCCCTCACAAAAATAAATAGGTTGAAGTGCACGAAGCTGAGCTGTCGTCTACTTAAGGATAAATAGAAATGAAACATAAGAAAAAGTTCAGTTGTCCCTAATGCAAAAAGGGAA